ATAAAATATTTATCAATAATATACATACATTTTATCTGTGAACATACAATCTTTTGCATTAAAAATTTAACAATAAAAATGAAAAATACAGTTTAATTCCCCATGATAATCAAAACATGGTCACGATTTTCACAATTTTTCAGAAAATCACGGTTTTTAAAAAAAATCGATCATCAAATTTTCATTTTTTAAAAACGCAGCCACAACTCCATTTCTTGAGAACTTGAGCAATAAAAATTGCTTAATCCGATAAATTACACCCAAAATCATATGAAGAACAATATTACCTTAAAAAACCCTCTACAATAATTCATAATGGTGCTTCAATTTGTCTCATATTTGTAGTTTGTCAGGGAAAAAAAAAAACCCTACTTGTTCTTCACAAAACCATGACTCAAAATAAAAAATCCACTACAAATCGACCAAAAAATAGAAATAAGATACAAATATTTTTGAATAATATCATAAAGAATTAAAACCCCATTATATGAACACAAAATTTGCTAAAAACAGTTCGAAGTCGATTAAATGGCGGAAAAAAAAAAAAACACAGACCCAACCTAACAACAATGGCTCGACCTCAAAAATCCAGCTCAAATCAAACAAAATAGATCAAATTGGATACATTTTATGATAAATATCACTATAAAGAATCAAAACCCTATACTATGAACAAATTATTTGCTAAAAATTGATTACAATCGATTAAATGGTGGAAAAAAGAAGTTCTTACGTGTTTTTCTACAATCGTGACTTCAAACTCAAATCTGACTTGTAATCGACCAAAATAATCTTAAATCCTGAATAATTTCTTCTGAATAACACTCTCAAGATTAATAACCCCTTGATTTGATAAAAAATAATGCCCTATTTTGTTTGAAATCTAAGAAATGGTGGATAAATAAATAAAAACCATGTTCTTCATAAATTCGACGATTTTTGATAAAAAATAATAGTTGCAACTCCAATATATCGAACAATAAGGCTAAAAAGTTAAAGATAAAGCCTGAATGATTCGATCAAAAGCCTGCAAAAGCAAAAAAATGATCAAAAAATTCCATATTTTGATGATACACACTGCTTTTTACTATTCACCCGTGTCTGCTACCGTGACTCGGGCGATTCATTGTTCAGAATCGTCATGTTCTCTCTAGACACGGGTAGTTCTATGTTGTTTGTTGGAATTGGCACGGCAGTGCCGATTCTCGAGTCAAATTGGGCGATCCGGTTCGACTCGACGAGTTTTCTAACACTGATCTTAACAATTGAAGCCTAAGCTCGAGCAATTTAATTGTGAACATTTACAATTATGTGCATTGCTTTAAATAGTAAAGTCACATGTGAAACCCTAAGGGTAAAATGCAGTTTGGATACTAGAAACCCCTCTAATGGCCTTGAAATTTATTTTCACTCAGAAATATGAAATTTGGAGCTCCAAAAATAAAGCAAATCTGGTGGACTTGTGAATATTTGAAAATGGATACACTACTTTTGGGGTTGCATTTTCTATTTATATCCAATGGAGGTGATCAATTGAGGATTTTCTAACATTAAGTCTATAGAATTATAAAATAATAAATATATTTTTATTCATTTTTTTTAAAAAAAAAAAAACCAAAGTCTTCATTTTCTTTCATGAAGACTAACGTTACCAATCAAATCGAAATCGTATATTATACAAAACTCAGGCCATGTATGGCCAAGGGTATACTATACACTTGCAGGCCCATCCAAAGGATCTCCTTTGTCTCATTCGCTATTTATTTACTAGAGCTTCTTTCATGAAGCCTAACGTTACCAATCAAATCGAAATCGCATATTATACAAAACTCAGGCCATGTATGGCCAAGGGTATATACTATACACTTGCTGGCAAAATACGGAAAATTATAGATATTTTTCCAAAATAAACTTTTTAAACATCTTCCAGCGCAATATTTTTAGTATCACACCTTAAACTCAAAGATCATTTTTTCTTATATTACTTCCCCAGTCCAAAAATCAAAAAAATTGAAACTAAAAAGCCCTTCTTCTCTCTCTCTACCCACCCTCTCTTCCATCCTCTCCCCACATGCCCTCTCTCGCTACCCACCCTCTCTACCCACCTCTATCTAGAGAGATTTTGGGAGAGAGCAAAAAACATAGAAAGAGATTGGAAGAGATATCAATTTTTCTCCTCTCTCTCACAATCTCTATCGGCCCATTTTTTCTACTCTCCCAAAATCTCTCTCTAGAGAGAGAGAAAGAGAGAGGAGAGAGAGGGAGCAAATACATAGAGAAAGGAAGAGAGAAAGGTGGATAGAGAGAGAAAGAGAGATTGAGGGGTCGGGTAGATAAGTGAAAGAGGGCAGGTAGAGAGAGGGAGTAGAGAGAATGCATCTAGAAAGAGAAAGAGTGAGGGCGAATAGAGAGAGAGAAAGAGAGATAGGGTGGGTAGAGAGCGTGAGAGAGAAGAACGACATTTTAGTCTCAATTTTTTTGAGTTTTTAATGTAGGTAAATACAAGAAAAAACAGTGTTTGAATCTGGAGTGTGATACTAAAAGAATAGAGAGAAAAGATGTCTACAAAGTTCATTTTAGGGGTTACTTATGATTTTTCTAACAATTTATCAATATGAAATTTTGATAATCACTTCAACGTCATCATGCTGACCCCAATTAATTGGAAAAATACTATGATGATGATGAACAACGACTTTAACAACACCATATACATAATGTTTAAAAAGAAAAATAATGATTATGAGTTGTTGAACAACTACAAACAATAAAAGGTTTTTATTCCACCCTAGTGCGTGAATTTTTTTTTTGGAAGGTTTGTCTTTTTTTTTTGCCCCTTCATTTGGTGGGCAAACATTATTTTTTGGGGGCTGTTTCCTTTCCTAGAACTCGTGATATTCGTAAGGTCTTTATATTTTTCTATATTGAGTTGAAAGAGCATGTATTATACTGAAAGGTCATTACGGTTTTTGATTTTGGGTTGACAGAGCATATACGGCACGCTCCTGCAAAAGCACATTGTAAACTTATTTCCTCGATTAAAAGAATTACTCAAGATTTAAGAGAACTCTTTGAACTCTTTTGACCGGTTGGGATCTATTTTTCAAAAAAAGAAAAAGTAGATTTGGAGTTTTTAAACCCTTAGATCTAATAATTCATCGAAAAGGTTTGGGGTTGTGGTGATAGCACCCTACATCCTAATCATCATATTGTGGTTTCCAAGGTCGCCATAAACAACTACCTCACTAATACTTTCAAAACTATTAATAACTAACCTCACTAATGCCTTCAAAAAGCTAACTCCTAATCATTCAAACTTAAGAACCTCTTTTCCGCTCCTTGATGTTAGTAAATGGATGGATGAAGCGACAACACCAATATTTGGATTCCTAAAAACTAAGCTTGGAAATGCTTTACTAGAGGAAGTGAATGAACAATAAGCTCCCATGAGAGCACTATTGGCAAGTTGAAACGTTATGTTTTGCTTGATAAGTGGGTAGAAAGAGAATGAGTGCCATCATATTAGTTTTGTAAATAGGAATTGTATTCACTTTTAACACAAAGAAGTCAAAATTATTTTACCCATTGGAGGTGAAATATGATATACTGCAGCATGCCACAATATTTGAGAAATTTTATTTTGGATGTTATACCCAATAAATGACACATCCCAACCACTCAATTCTATGTTTTTTTTTGTATACCAAAAGCAAATGATATCTTTCTACAGTTCTTTGTAAATATCACCAAAATGTTGAAAAAAACCTCATTAATACTTTAAAAAAGCTAACTCCTAATCTATTTGAAATATTGTTTATGGTCAAACTTAACTCCTAATCTATTTGAAATATTGTTTATGGTCAAACTTAAGAGCCTCTTTTCCCCTGCTTGATATTAGTAAATGGATGGATGAAGTGACAACACCAATATTTGGGTTCCTAAAAAATACCCTTAGATGCTTTACTAGAGAAAGTGAATGAACAATAAGTACTCACTTTTTGCACAAAGAAGTCAAAATTATTCGAAAAAATTTATTTTGAATTTTATGTCCAATTAATGACACATCCCCAACTACTCAATTTTATACTTATTGAAAGTAAATCATTCTACATTTCCTTGTAAATATCACCAAAATGGTGAAAAAAACCCACTCCTATCTCTTATATTACACATTTACACTTACTAAAGCATTAAAAGTGGTCATCGAAATTATTTGATCTCTCTGGGTACGTGGAATCTGGAATCACGGACCCAATGGAATCTTCCATAGCCATATGATGCGGCCAAGCCCGCATAAATAGAAATGTGAGTCTCTTATTAAATTTATTTTTGAGATGGATTTTAAGACTTAATTTTTATGGACATGTAATCTCTAAGATGGAGATTAAGATGGAAATGATGAATATGAATAAATAAATAAATTTTAAAGACTAAAAATAATAATTCTAATAAAAAAACATTTGGACCTTTAGTTTCTATGATTTTTAGATGGAACACCATCTTTAAGATGGATGCTTTACACTTTTTGGACTGCATATGTAAAAATGCGGTCCAGCTTACATGAAACAATTTTTCATGATTTAAAGCAGTGATTTAAAAAACATTAGGTCACATGGAATCTCCTGGTCTGAAGTGAGAATTGGTCACCCCGTGCCAATTTTGTCAATATACAGGAAATTGTCTGGGTTTATAAAAAAACCAGCAATTTGCTATAGTAAAAAAGTTGTTTTACTATAGTAGAAATGCCAATGCACCAATCCAAACCGGTTTTTGGCCGGTTCATTATTTTTACACGTTTTTTTGCCGTTTCACTAGTTTTTCAACACAATCAAATGGCAATCCAAACCGCTGATTCACCGATCCAGACCAGTTTTTGCAATACCCGATTCTGCGCACCAATCCCTTGTTTAAAACACTGATTTGAAGCATACTCTCCTTGGATTGTATATCACAATTAGAGGAGAAAAGAAATTCAGGATGCACCAAAGATTAGAAAACTGTTACTTAGAAAGAATGCACTCATCTCAAATTTATAATGGTGTAAGAAAGATTATAGCCAGTTCAGTTTGTACGTCCAACATCCTTCAGACCAACATTGTTGGCTTTGTCATATACAAAGAGATGCTATGTCAGCAAAAAATTACTGCCAAAGAATCTACAGGTTCAGTAATGGCTATAAACAGGTGGTAACAAAATTTCTCTTCCCCCCTCTCTCTCTATCTCTCTCTCACAAAAGTACATTCACTCTGCAACCATGGCTGCTGTGAGCTAACCATTTGCAGCCAACCCGACGCCAAGAATCTGTACTCAAAATAAAATGTATGAAAAGAAAAACGAAAATTATGAATGAACGGGGTAGAGACGCTTGCCTCAGACTCAGGTTACCCACTTCTGGAGAAGAAAATGGGGAAAATAAATATGAAGATAGCAAAGAATGGCATGAAGTACCGAACAGTCGTGATACCTCCAACTGTAGCATGTACTTTATTGGGAGTGGTCGTGATACCTTTGAACCATCTTTCAATGAACTTTGTGTAGCCATAAACACTTGCTCCATGAATCAAGGTGATGGGTATCATGGCGAGTAAAACCCTCTCTCAAACCCAATTAAACCATGAACAAATACTTCAAATCCTCTACAGTTAGTCTTGTTCTATGGCCGCCATTCTCGTCTTCTCCAAATGCAGAAGCTACCATTTCTCTTTTCTTTTCCTGCAAAACCCCATTTACAAAATCATACTTGCAGTCAAAAAGAGCATGTCCAGGTACATATTTACAGTTTCCACTGTCATTGTTCAGCAAATAAAAGGGCAACAAAACCATTTTTCCCACAATGACATGGCATATGAACCTTGACTACCCCACTGTCCTCAACATTCCGTTCTTCCCTCCAGATGGTTTTCAACATCAGACTTGAATCATGAACCTGAACCTCGTTCTTTATAATTGTATGAGAAGAAAAATTCTAAATGAAACCAATGTTCAAGAGGCCCCATGAGAAAATGGATTACGTTTGCATGGAGATGGACCCTTGGGTCTAATGAAAAACCACCCATGAAATACACCTTCCCCCCATCCCAATATACTGATCTGAATAACATCCTGATGAGACTGGTGGTATGAACCTACACCCTAGCATAGGTTTCACTTACAGCATCATTCTGCATTGCATAAAGATGCTCATTCCTGAATAAAGAGTAGTCACTCACACATGTACATAATTATTAAGCAGAAAAGTACACAAAGAGACCATTTACAATTTCCACTGTCATTGTCCATCAGATTTCATATCCGATGGTTGTAAGAGTGCCATTGACTAGGTTCAAAGTTCAAAAAAGAAAAAACAAATCCTTGAACTTTGTGACACACAAGCCATCTAATTCAGAGTTATTGATTTTCAATGGGTAAGAGGCAAATGTGGCTTTTATCAGTGTTGAACTGCTAAGGTTATCTTTATCAAGGCAGCTCTTTAAATGTTAACTAAATGATAGATGGGAATTCTCTAACTCCATGGAAACTTTGGGAAATTTTTGCAGAGTTACATGATTTATTATCAAAACTTTGCATTGCTGAGATTCACATCTTTGCAGGGATGTTAAATTGATGGCAGATGAGCTGGTTGTTTTGGGGGCATAAAAGGAATAGATCTTGGCAGTAACAAATGGAATTTCGAGAGCTAAAAAAAAATAACTAATTCCAGATGTTCCATGCAAGAACCATTCAAGTTTCGTCAATTTTATGCTGGCTAAACTTTGATATAAAGTAAGTAGCATAGTGATATAAAACAGGCCACAGTTACCACATCATCATCCAAGAGAATTGATAAATTACACACCTGAAGAGCTAAAATGCGATCTTCAACAGTATCTTTGACTGTCAACCGAGAAACAGTAACAGGACGGGTCTGACCAATTCGGTGTGCTCTATCAATAGCCTGATCCTCAGTTGTCGGATTCCACCACAGGTCCATAAGAATAACATGGCTGGCAGCAATCAAGTTCAAGCCAAGACTAGCAGCTTTCAGAGACATAATCAAAACAGTCACCTAACAAAAAATTGAACAGCCAATGCTAAGTCCGATTAGAGAGAGAGAGAGAGAGAGAGAGAGAGGCCAACAGTCCAAATCCTAAAGTTATTCGACCAAATAAGTTTATAGTGAAAAACTGAAAAGTTTGAAATAAAATGATGACAACCTCAGGAAGAGTGTTGAAATCCTTCACAGCCTTATCCCTTGCAACCACAGACATAGTTCCATCCAGTCTCCTGTATTGTATACAAGAATCTTTCAATGGAACTTCAAGCAAGTCCAGCATCCTTGTCCACTGGGAAAAGACAATAGCTTTCTCTGCTACTTTTACAAGCTTCATGTCTGAATGCTTATCCACAGTCATATGTGTCCCACCATGCAACTTCAAATATCCTCCCGCTTCTACAGAGTTAGCGTGCTTCTCAACAGCACAAACCATTTCATGACAAGACTCCCTGGAACTGAATTCTGTATTTTGCAGCTTTGGTTTAGAAAGTGATTGGAGAATCTCAATAGCAGTTTTGATTTTTGAAGAATTGCATGAAAGACCCAGTTCTGCATTTGTTTCAAATGGCTCAAGCTGTCCAGGATGACAAGGGAAACCACCATTGTCAGACTGATCAAAGATACAGCTGCTCAGTGTGGCTCTAGAAAATATTGAGGTCGTACTCAATTGAGCCCCACATTGAGCTGCAGGGCAAATATTTTCATCGGTTGTAAGGTGTTCACGTATGCACTGGTTGCAGAAAACGTGACCGCAGATTGTCACCACAGCATCCTCCGGTGAATCCTACAATAAAGAACAGGGAACAAATTGACTAGACAACAAAGGTTCCAAAATGGCAAGCCAGTGGGAGACACAAAGAAGATTCCCACAGAGGATCCAAACAATGAGATCACAAACACAGAAGAGTGAAAACATCAATTGAAGAAATTCATGAGAAAAAAAGCTCGTATACCAGTACAAAAATCTCACTATAGACTAATTTGTGTGAGCATCTACTTTTTGCATTGGCACTATATAAAGGAATGTTATGTTCTCTTGTATAATCCAAGTTGAAGGGTTCCATGTCTTTTTCAATGTTCAAAATGAAAGATACTTATAATGGGCTAGAAGGGCACCCATCTTTTCATTCCAGCCTTGACCAGTTGAATCACTTTACAAATTTTGGATCTACAAGACGCAAATGAGATCTATAATCTGTTAAAAAAATAAACAACATGAAACCTCAAAACAATCAAATTTGTTTATAATGTAAGAACAATGAATAAACAATCCATCCATATGGCCAAACCACTACCCCGGAGAAAATTAAAAGTTACGTTACTAAAAAAATTCCTAAATAATTTTTATGTTGCATGAATTACTTTTGGTATATACAAAAGTAGACTATCTAAGAGCATGATCTAGACTACAAATAACTTAATAGTGATTGTAATTGAGAAACTCTAATGAACGAAATTTCTCATCTTCAATTGCGAAATACACAGTATTGAAGAACTAGATATAGATCACGAAACGAACTCAAGAACAGAGGCATTGGAAACCATGATCATACATTGCAACTGCCACAAATTGCCAAGCAAGCTCCCAAACAATTCCACAGAAGTATTAGCTTTTCCTTTGGAAGTTTCCTAGCCATCTCCACAGACGACTTCCAAATGGAATTTGAATCATATCCTTTGACGAGCTGACGGTGATCACATGCCTGACGAAGCCTCAGAAGCATTAACAAGATATTTACATAATTCTGTTTAACAGTCCCCTCAGCCGCATAGACCTGAACAAAAAAAAGAAAGAAACAAATCTTAAAGAAAAAAGAAATTCCACTAACAGATGATAGATGACACACTTAAGGGATAAATTACTGTGAGAAGAAAAAATATAATGTCAATCTGTAGGATGTCCAAAGAGTGAAGGCATTGTAAGTGCAATTCTGCTTGGCAATAATATTAAGTATAGCTTCCTTTTTGTGTGTGCGTGTACATGTGTGTGTGCATATGTGTGCGTATGTGTGTGAGCAACTCTTATGAGAACATACACGCAACTCTTATGAGAACATACACATGTTCACAAAAACCATCAATTCCCACCCAAAAGATTTATACAAACTTTTCCAACCGGATTTCACTAAAAACTACATAAACCTTAATTATGTTGACGAGGTTACTGCTAATCTAGAAATCACTTAAAAATAAGGATTCCTGAAATGTGTCTGAAAGCTGTAAAAGTGAACCATGCAAACAAAAACAGGAAACAACTCTAAGAGAGTGAAAATAAGTGCAAAATAATGTTATTAGATAAGCTACCAAAGATGTTCTGCTAGATGACATAAGCACGACTGTCCGAAAAAAGTAAAATCCAAGCTACATTTAAGCGAGTGATTTTCCCCACTACCGCTATACCTCAAATTGTGCACGCGACTCCTCTTCTAGTTTGGAGTAAAAATCACGTTCCTCCATAGAGAAATCAATCTTCTTCAGAAGCACCGACTTAGGTGGTAGGGTAACAATGGGCTCCCCATCAAGAAGTGTCCCTATGCAGGAAAAACAATTGCGAAATCAGCAACACAATAATTAGGATATGATGCAGCATTGACATAGCAAGTGTGCAGTTCACATGAACCCAATATCTTAGAAAGACCAAAACGAGAAAGAAAAGAAGAAAGAACAATACTAAGCTCAAAGTGAATTCGATATGGGCATCAACTATTCCAACGAACATGATCCCCAAACTGATAAAATGCAATATCATGTGTGCATAAAAAGAAGCAACAATCATATCTTACACATTGAGGAATGGGTGAAGCAGTTATTGGTGCCATGGCCTAATATGTGGAAATTTTAAGGAAGCATTCCAACTTTTTTTTCTTTTTTTTTTTTTGAAATAACGAGCTGGTGCATGATTTCATTGTTTGTTTGGAAAATAGAAAGTGAGCATGGGTATGAAATGGAACCAAATGGGTTATTGCATTTGAAAGGAAGATGTTTCTACAGTTGCTATAGACATTCTTACAGTTTAGCAATTCCAAGCAGTCAACAGAAGTATCATTTTCTGAGTTATTCAAAAGCAAGACGTAGTCCTTTTGAAGTAAGTAAAAGCAGCAGTTAGGGCCTTGGCCGCAAGGATATTAAATAGGAATTCCAAAGGGGACCATGGTAAAGTAGATTTTGGAAGGGGAGCTATCTGCAATAAAGGGGTAAATAACATCAATTGTTATACAGCTGCATGGAATTTGAGACTTGATTTGGGCCAAAGACCAACACTATACCAGTGAGGTTACAAATTTTACAAAGTGCTTTCTAAAAGGCTATCAGGGCCATCTGCTGACTCGGGGACAACCTTCACAGATACTTCTAAGGCAATATCATTCATAAATGTCACAAACCAAAATTGTCCATGTATCTAGGAAACTAGGTTGAGACACCGCCACATGTGCGCCTACGCACACATAAACATAGAATTTAGACTCTTGAGTGACAAACTGATTAGGGACCATTAGGTCACACTCTAGATTAAATAACCTTATGTGATATGTCCTACAGAACATTGTTTAGGGTCAATATGGTCATGAGGGTTCCAGAAACCCGAAGTTGAATTATATAAGAGACTTTTATCTCATTTTACCATTGAATGTGCAAAAATGTAGCCCTTGGAGTCCATCATGCCTCTCTCTCTCTCTCTCTCCCCTCAACCCTAATTTCCTCATTTTTTAGTTTCAAATTTCAATGTAGCCAATGTTAACCATATATTGGCCCCAGCCTCTTCTATGCATATGTAACCACACGCTTGGTGTTCATTTTGGACAGCACCAAAGGCAAATTTCAACAAAAAGCATTGATTTCAATATATCACAGATAGCGCAAGGTACAGCATGGCATTGCTTAGCTAGAAATAACATTGTCAGTAACTTCCTAATACAGGCTTTGAGATTGCTAGTGCGTAACTTTGCAAATTCATGTGAATTTCCAAGCTAATGCACAATAAGAATTTATGGATTACTATCAGAATGACTACTAATGTGTTAATATTTATGGATTGCTATCAGAATGACTACTAATGTGTTAATATTCATAAATTGTACTAGGGGTAAGATCTAAAGGATGAAAACCTTAGCGTCCAAAAAGATCAATACTGGATTATTTGTATAATGAAAGTTACCTTTAGTACGGCGCAACATTATTGTCTTGAGGACAGCTTGTAGCTTCTTGTATCCTACAGCTGGATTCCTACTTATAGGGGCCTTTATCATAGAACAGAATGACTTATAGACAGCATAAGGATCATATCTTAGAAATCTGAAGTAGCTGTAAAGATCATCAACTGCATTCTGGATTGGTGTTCCTGACAAGCACCACCTTCTTTTAGCTCGAAGACCCCAACATGCCCGAGCAACTTGAGTTCTGTGATTTTTTATGCTCTGAGCTTCGTCTAATACCACCCTAAACCATCCAACTCTAGCAAGAGGGCGGGCAGCAGATTCAAGCAATGAACCGCCCTTTCTTTTCTTATCCTTCAGACTTTTGTTTGTGGCATTATGAGGATGCTTCCTTTTCTTATAACCAGATGATTCCAAAGGAGCATCCTGGACTTGTGGGCTCTTCCTATCTTCTTCGTCTTGATCAACCAGTGATTGCTTTGGAACTTCCATACTCACAATGGAATATGTAGTGAGAACCACATCATACTTGGCAAGCTCAATAGGATCTTTAGTTCGATGGCTCCCATGATACACAAGAACAGAGAGCTTAGCTTTTTCCGTAACCTTATTCTGCAATTCCTCCGCCCACTGTCGAAGAACGCTAGTAGGACACACAACCAAAGTTCCAGCAGCTGGCCTTCCTTTTACCATACTAAGTGAATCTCCATTCTCCAATGGTTTCTTATCCAGTACAAAAGATTCAGAATTTTCAGCATCCTTGAGTCCATCAATTGCAGAAACCCCTGTTTCATCATCCTCATCCAAATTCAAAGCTTCAGGTTTGTCATGTTCCGTTGCTTCGGTACTGCAATTGGAAGATGGAGACCTCTCCATGAGTATAAGTGCAATTGTTGATATTGTTTTGCCAAGCCCCTGTTAAATTGCAACCAAGAAAGGATCCTGAGTGGACTGGAACAAAAATGACATAAATAAATGTTGAAGTTAAAATCTTAAATCGCAAACCTGATCATCAGCGAGGATTCCACCACAGCAGTGCAAACTGGCTGTCTCTTTTTGGACCATCCACGAAAGAGCAATTCGCTGTAAAGTGATACTAGAGCAGTTTATTTAACATGGCAGATCACATGCTATCATTCAGTTCAATGACTTCTCAAAAGAAAACAACATAAAATAGCCTAAATAGCCCAACCTGGTGCCGCAGAAGGGGCATTGAAAGAACACCTTCTGGTGGGCTAATTTCTAATTTTGTCTGGGAGAGATCCTGCCATGTATAATCAGATACAGCCTCAACTCAATTTTACTATAAAAAAATGACAGGTGGAATTTAGAAAACTAATCTGTGCATCCTTTTCAGATAAAGCAACCAAAAAACCATTCAAGATGGAATAGATGCAGCAGAAATAATGTCATAATTAGCCAAAAGTAGATTCACGTCTAACAATTTTAGTAGGCAATATGAAACAAACAGAATCTGAATCATATCCAGGCCTTTATGGTACCCAAATGAGTATAATATAACACATTATTCTTTTCTTATACAGGCAATAAGATGAGAGAGAGTAGACTTTGGTGGGCTAGCCATGTGGCGCCGACCAAGTACAACGCCTCACTGAGGGCATAGTTTTTAATAGAGCAGAATGGCCGACCAGGATTCGTGTAGCCGATCCCTATTAATTGGGAAAAAGCTATAATGACGATGATTCTTTTCTTATAAAAAAGACAATCGAGGAACAAGGATCCATCAAGCTGCATCGAGATGCAACCAAGTAGAAAGAAATATCATGCAGGAACATGCTCAACACTATTGTATCATCTGTCACACAAGCTAATAATCATTTGATCTAACTAGACATACCCAAAACGCAAATACTTTGTTCCATTCACACACACAAACTATCAAACAAGTTAACAAATTGCTTAAAGCAGCCGAAGCAAGTATTCGAAGCAATAGGCAGAAATAGCTGAGAAGCACACAATGGGGTATAAAGACTCGGTTTTATACCCAGGACTCACCTCCTGAGTATTCAAACACACAGACAAGCAGTAGAGAGATTATACTTTTTTACATGAAGTTTTCAGGACATGTGGGATCCCTCTTTTTTTAGTACTGTTTTTGTCATGGGATTTCTCTTTTTTTAAGTACTGTTTTTGTCATTCTTTTAGGATTGATTTGTCATAATTTATGTAGGACAAAGTTGTCTATTGTAATTTATTATGAGTATAAATGCACAAAACACAAACCTAAGCCAATCTTTTGGCCCCCAATGTAGTCTTCTTCCCTCACTCTGCATGCACTTTCTCTCACTCCCAACGTTGCTTCTCTCTCTTTCTCGCTCTTGCTTTTCCTCCTTGTTTGCGTCCTTTTGCGTGTGCATGTTTGTGTTTATGTCTTGACTCCAAATAGAGGAAGTCAAATAAAAAGTACCACAGAATGCACACGGAAAAAGAGAGCTCAAGTTTTTAAAGTACAAAACTGCACTTACAAAGGAGGTGTTTTCGGGACTTTCCTGCATTTGGTGTAGCCTGATCCTCTTAGAGCTCCTGATATATATGTTACTGGGGGGAGCCCAGTCACTTGATGTGATCAATAGAGGATTCAACATCATTTGGCGTGGGGAAACTTTGCTTGGACTTACTCATTTCAAGCGAGAAGAAGTAGTGTGCCGCGATGCTATCACCAGACAATCAGATTGACTAAGGTTGATCCATTTTGTGTTCCCTCATCCAAAGTTTTAATCTTCTTTCCTTTCTTTGGTTCCCTCTTTTGGTATTTTTTAATATAAGGTTTTCCTTGGGGTAGGCTTGGTAATTTGAGGGGGTTTTTTGGTATTTTTGGGAATTTTTGATATTTTCCATTTTTAAAGGTAGTTAGGGAAGTCTGAAGCTTGGGAGAGTGTAATTCGGGTGTAGGAATTTGTTCTCACTCTAGGTCAAAGGGGTATGGGATATCTCTCACTTAATCCAAGTTTCTAATCCTTTACAAATGAGGTAAGGGGTTTATATAGAATTCATAGGAAACATGGGTGGAAAATCAATATTGCAACCCATAGATGGGTGGATTATCAGAAATTGGTTAGGGAAAGGCCAAAAATGACCATTTTGTGTGGTCAAAACTAGAGAAATACCATGAATGTGCACTTGGGATCCAATTCCTATCTGTTTGATACTGTTTTTTAGATCGGTTTTACTCAAATTTTCTCTGGAATTTGTAAAGAAAGTTGCCATGATCATTTTGAGACAAATTTAGATTAAAACTCCCAAAATTGATGGAGTTATGATCAAATCATTGGCCTTTTTTCAATTTTCAGCAATCTTCATTGTTTAGGTAGCTTCTCTCTACGATCTGACCCCTGAATTGTCTTGTAATCCCCCGGCATTTTATATTAATGCGAAGGGGATTGAATGAGAATCGTCCCTGAAAAATTTGTGCTCAAAATGCCTCATGGATTGTGAGATATTGGGCCAAGAGTGGATTGAGGTCATGAGGACTGCTACAAATGTACCCACTTTCAATCACTTTCTTTTTCCTTCGATTTACCCATGATCGGTGTTATGAACCCAATCGATATTTGTGTGTGTGGATAGAAAACCTACTAAGAGGGCAACAACTTATCAAAATTCGAGCTCATTTCACCATGGGATTTGTGAGATATGGCCAAGTCTTTGAGAGGAAGAAAACTTGAATGTTGCTGGAAAAAGATTCCTCATTGCTAGACCATGGTCACATGATGCACATTTTGTTAAAGTTTTGTGTTCTTTTTGGCAGTTTGTTGAATATCCTTTAAAAAATGGCACCTTGAGACATCAGATTGACCCCAAATTTGAAACATAGCTTTCAAGCATTGTGCCTTTCTTCCTTAAAGTTTTGGCTCGCTCGGCAACAGATTTATTGGGGCTCTCTTTTAAACTTTAGACCATTTAGGGGATGACACCCACCTTGTACCTTGAGGAAGAAATTCAAAAGGCCATATCTGAGTCATCTGACATCTGATTGAGTTCAAATTTGGAATTTAAGCCTTTCAACATAATGACTTTAATTTCACCAAAGTTTCGGACCATTTATCCATGGGTTTCTTAGGGCTCCTTTGTAAATTGAGGGCTGATTTCGGCACCCACTCCATAATTTTGACTTTTTAAAAAGTCATATTTTGGTCATTCGATATTTGATTGGCCTGATTCTAGAAGGGTAGCTTTGAGGTACCTTAGATAAAAGTTCAAAACCCTCAGATTATAGTTTTGAGCAGGTTTAATCGAGGTTTGACTGTGCTCCTTTCTCAGCCGTTTGGTTGCCAACTTGAGCATGCTACTCGCTGAAATTTTTTCATATTTAGCTGGGGACTTCCTCTCATCATCTCAAAGGGATCAATAAATTTTGGGCCCAAAATAAGATTGCTTTCACCAATTGTACCCAGTTTTGGTGATTCCTTGGATATTCTAGCAGTTACCGTGCTATTTGGATGATCGACCTTGTGAATTGCATTTCTTGGGTCATTGTTTTGACTTATTCCTTCATTTCTTCTATTTAGGGTGATGAGAGTCCCTTTGGAAGGTCCAAAATACAGGTCTCACCTCCTTGGGCCTGTAGTTTGGTATAGTGCTCCACAGACATAGGAACTACACATAGTTGTTGGGTACGGGAACAGGAACGGGAACGGTTCCGGGATCGGGGAGCGCATTACTAAAAGTGATCCAAAATATTATGGACCGAGGAATAACTTTATAGGAACGAGCTCCATTTTCTAGGAACACGAGTTCCTCGTGTAGGTGATAAGGATCCGTGGCTTTAAAATATAGCTCCCAACATTGTTAACCAATAGCATGTAGGCTTAGTCCTTCTATGAAATAAATAAGGAACTTTAAAGCGATCCCATATTGGTGGGACTTGGATGCCATATATGACGATGATTCCGTTATATTGGAATCTAGATCCCAATGCACTCTGAAGCGCGAACCATAAGACTAGGAACTAGATCCGGTAATGTTCTGAAACACGAAATTAAATTGTAAAGAACTCGTTCCCTTATAAGATGGAGCGAGATCCCGAAAACACTAAATTGAGTTTCAGATGAGATCCACACCGGTATCGAGAGAATCGAGGTTCTGCAAGGGATCGCCAAGCAAGGTAGGAGATCCCGAAAACTATGCAACTACCCCATGGACCCCCAAACACTCTTTCACTTGTGGCCATTGTTTCCCTTCTCCCCTAGAGATTTAGGCCACAAACTTTACATGGCATCAGAGCAGTGACCAACACCTAGTAGCCATGCCATCTTTTTCAGATCTCAAGTTTGAAGTTCAGAAGGATCCCTAGGGTTTGCACCCCTTTTTGTAGTGATCAAATACCTACATATTTCGCATGAAATGATCAAGACCAGTCCTAAGCATGCAAAGATTATACGAGAGGATGCCATGTGATATTTGGGTAATCTTCCATTTAATCGGGTTCTCTTGTTCAGAGTGTTTTTATCTACTAAATGGCAAATCGAAGAAATCTACCCTCAGCGGACGCAATAGCCATTCAAATTGCTTTTGCCAATTCAAATGGCAGCAGCTATTTTTCATGGAAAACTACATAAACAATGAAAGGGGACCACCAGATCAGAACATCCAAGTACCTGGATCCTTCTGACCCTGAGTATGAAGAGTGGATAACATCAAATCACTTATTACGTCATGGATCCTCAGTTCTATAGATGAAACCATTAGAAGTGGATTGTTTTTCCTTGATTCAGCCAAAGAAATCCAGGACGCCATAAAAAAGCAAGTTTCTCAAAAGAAAATGATGCTCGAGTACAAGCTTTGGAGCTATAGCCTTATGCTCTTGAGGTAAAAATGAAAAAAGATGAGAGATTTACCTCCATAGCACAGATTAGGTCTGGGGTTCGGGGCAATTATGATGATGATGATAGTGACGAGGATGGGATTGGGGAGAGATGTCAAGAGGCAGAAGTAGAACAATCTATAGTTACCCGAATCGCCTATGAGGGTGGCGAATTCGTTTCGAAATCTTGATTCGGTATTTCCTTGGGCGAAAGTTGAATCTAACAGAAAGGAATCACATTTCCATTTTTTGTGGAACGCGATTCTACCTAGTTTAGGAATCTTGATTCCTAGATTGCCGGAATCAAGATTCCATATCAAGGACTTTAAGATTCTTAGCTACACAAGAATGTGATTCTTCTTGTGAGAAATATTGATTCCAAATTTTATGGAATTGCGAATCCATATTGTTTGGAATCAAGTTTCAATATCGCAGACATC